TGCGGGGGAGGGCGCCATCAGCGACTCGTGGTTCTGGTTGCGCGGTCGGGTCTGGCCAAATTGATTGCTGTAATTTGGGGCAAACAAATAATACCCGGAGTATTCGGGTTGTCGAACCACAGAGAGGTGGGGTACTAATCACTAGCTACTAGGTTACTCATATGAAACTAGTCCGAACAAAACTTGAAGGTGGATTGATTGCATAAAATATCAAGCAGAATAAAACAAGTAGCAAGGTTTTGTAGACAATAGAGCAAAATAGAATTCTTGGGATCACAATGTTTAATCACCTAGTGCCAATTAACGTTTGTAATATTTGGTTTGGAATTAAGATTTGTATGGGAATGCAAAGTGGAATCGAATTACTCCCGTAATCTCTATTCCTAGTGAATTTCCACTCCCATGGCTTAAACACCCAATAAGATCAAAGATCAGCATTCAATTATTCCTAATTACTACCATCTCCCGATGAGCAATAATCTAGAATAAACTTCCCCTAATAAGTTCCCCTTTCCCAAGGACCAACCATTAGGTGCAATCGTGTGTGCCCTAATTTATGCCCCAACTCCCATTGGTGACACAAACATGACTGTGAAGCTAGTAATTTAGGCCTTTAACTACCAACAACAACAGATTAAAACAAGATTGCAACACAAATCATAAAACCAAACATAAATATATTAAGAAATTAACGAACTAGGCACATAGGTTCATAAACAAATTCACCCAAAAATCCTTAAAGAATTTAGCCGAGCATGGCTAAATTATACATAGCAAATATGAATAAAGGATTACAAATCATCAAAAGAGTACAAGAATTAACCAAGCGATTCTCCCAAATCTCCTCGGCTTCCTCCTTGCTTCCAAAGACAACTTGAGCCTCTTGATTTCTCTCTTTCTTGTCTACAAAGAACTCTAAAAATCTCTCTGTCTCCTATTAGGGTTGAGGAAGGAGGGATTTTATAGTGGGTACAAAGTTGAGATGAAATAGGAATCTTGTACAAAATTGGACTCAAATTATAATTCCTATATTTAAATAAAGAAATTGCCGTATTTAATTTAAAATTGAAGTTGGAATTTGGAATTTGGAATTTGGAATTGAAGTTGAATTGGGATTTGGAATTGAAGTTGAGGATGCTGAAGCCAACGCCCTTTTGTATTAAGCTGGCGACTTTCAGCGCCTTCGCTCGAATACTCCGGGTATTATTTGTTTGCCCCAAATTACAGCAATCACGAATGCATGCAGGAATGCCACGGCCTGTCGCCGGACGACGTTGGAGTGCATCAGCGATCCGTCCCATACCGCCGCATTTCAGCTCCTCCAAAGATGGTATAGTACGGCTACCATTAATCCATTCTGCTCCTCCGTCAATACTGTCAACACACCCATAAGCCATAAGGGAAAAGAATCTACTACAATATTCATGATAGGTAATTGTGCAACATCCCAAACAAGTCTAGAATAATTGCAAAGTACTAAAGCATGCATAACATTTTCATGAGCCAAGCCACACATTTGGCACGTAGGATCCACTTCTACCCTCTTTAAAATTAAGTTATTAGTGGTAGGGAGGATATCACAAACTACCCTCCATAAAAAAGTGTTCTACTTGGGAGGAACCTTTAATTTCCATATAGTTGCCCATTTATCAAGAGCACCCGGGCATGCACATCATCACCAACAAGCTTCCTATAGGCATTCTTTACCGAGTATATTCTCTTGGGGTCGCCAATCCAATACCATGAGTCCTCATAATCCAGGCTTACAGGGCTTGGATTCTAGATATCCTGGCCACATCCTCTGGGATAAATTCCTAGTTTTCTCTTGAGTGGCAATTCTCTGTAGATCGAGGTTACATCTTCTTCATTGTATTGGAATGTTCTTATTACATTACATGTTATCATAAATGAAAGTTCACTAGTCTTGAATGCAAGAATTCTAATTGGTTCCTACTTAATTTTAAACAAATTAATTATTTGAATTACGACATGTGCCAAACACAGAGACCAACAATACGTAAATTAATGACAAATAAATAAAGGAACCAAGAATGCGCAATATGTTAACATAATTCGAAAAAACTTTTTCCTACGTCTACGGGACCATGGGCCACTCAAAAGTGTAATCCAATTCCACTAAATGATCACAGAGATTACAAAAGGTTGAATTAATTTTCCATACAACACTATGGCCTAATCATTCATACCAAACCCAATCTTCATCATCCTTCTTGAGTTGGAAGAATTTCTGAAATCAACATTCCAGTCAATTCACACTTTCTGATCCAATAGACGTCACCATGCCTCATTGAAATAAATCAACCCGTTCACTTGAATCTTGATAGTACTTGATTGCCTTTTGAACAATTCCAAGTTGAAGTAGATAATTGAGCAGGGTAATTCAAGGAAGTAGATAATTAATTAAGATTGTAGAATATATTATTGTCTTGCTTGGATCTTCACACCTCTTTATATAGTAGAATAATTGGACTCTTGAAGTTTGAAAATAATTTGCATGAGAACTCCTTGAATTAAAGTGAGACACTCAATTCAAATTGGCTGCCTAAAGACTTTGTATTCTAACAAAATTTTGTTGGAAGATCCGCCCAAACCGAGTTACGCACTGTCTCAGGCACATCAACTTCTAATTCTTCCAAAGACTGAATCCCAACCCTAAGGGCCCCCACACCCCGGCCCAGCACATCAACTTCTAATGCAACTATGGATGGTAGACTAAAAACACAAAACTGCAACTAACCGAACTAATATTGTTTGTCAAATAATTATCAATATAAGGTGTTAAAAACGTGTAATATTTGTACACTTACAATAATATTAAAATTAATATGATTTTTGTTAAATAAAAATAATCAAATTTACCTATGAATTTCCATTGGTAAATGATAGAAATACGTAAATACTTATACAATAATTAATAATCAAATTTGCAAATTATCATGGAGCCGATGCCAAATGAGTTTATCTATATGTCATACTCAACAGAACTTTGTTTTCCATACTAGCTACAACTTTCTATTAATAACTTTCTCTTACCCCAAAAGGCTGAATCCCCAACCCTAAGGGCCCCCCACATTCTGACCCGACAGAGCATGTGGGAGGATGTAAATCACGGTGACTCAATGGGTTAGTAGGTAGGGTCAAATGTCGGTGCGCACAAGAAATCTGCCCACTTTGGACATAATTCCCACACTGCTGCCGCCGAAGTTCGAATCTTGATCTCTACGCCAAATACTGCTCACTAAACCATTGAGTTAAGCCCGTGCGGGTTCTATTAACTTTCTCTAAGCTAGGCATCTGGTGAGCATAGAATGAAAGTTGGATTTATCCAACTAGGACCTTTTCTCATCCAATCAAATCATACAAAGTGATTCGCATCTAATTCACTCCAGATGATGAAAAGCCAAGGGAATCTCATCACACGTGTTGTATACTTGTATATATAATATAATGACATACAATAATCTATGGGTGCGATGATATGATAATATGTGTGTCTGTGAGAAAAAATAATAGCATATAATTTTATTTTATTTTTTAAAATACATAGATGTAGAATTCATATTATAGTAAAAGTATAGTTGATAATTTGAGTAATAATGATGGTGTAATTATTAATTGTTAAAATAAGAATTTTTTATATTGTAAATTAAATATAATTCTGGTAACATTTAATATATACTAAAGGAAGTTTAATGGTATAAGATAATTTTGTCCATTAAAAATAATATTACAATATTTATAGCACAATGCACAACTCAATAAGCTTAAAAATACAAACATAAATCAAATATAATATCATTGGTTTACTCTTATAAGTTTATTTTTATTTAGATTTTAGATAATAATAATAATAATAATAATAATAATAATAATAATAATAATAATAATAATAATAATAATTGAAATCATTTTAATAAATTTGATATTTATATTTTAGGAAATAACTAACTAATCCTTAGTGTAATTAAAATCTAAATGAAAAATATAAGAAATGATATGGTGGATGCATGAGCATGGTGATAATAATAAGAAAAGATAATGGAAGTTATAACTTATAACAGTATAAATATTTTTACTGTTATAACTTTCATTATCTAACAACTCTTATAGCATAATGTATGAGGAAAAAAAAAAAACCAAAAAAAGGAACATAATGAAAAGTTATTAGTTTTGCAGACAAGACCAAATGGATCTATCCACATTGGGCTTAATCCTACATTGCCACTAACGAATTTCAAACCTTGGTCTCTTCCTTCAAATACTGCATATTGAACCAGTGAGTTAAACTCATCGTGTGTACAAATAATTGTTGTTTTCTTATTGAAGTGATAGTGTATCATCAGTCAATATATATTGAGGTATTTGGCAAGTCCATAAAATAATGATCTATTTGATCTAATAATGTGGGCAATAATGATCTATTGATTTGGTTTAAATACCAACAAACTAAGATGCGAGTTAAAACAAACATCAATACCATTATATTTAATTTGAACAAAAAATTGTAATATAATAAACTCAAAGAAATCATGCACAGCCACATGATGATGTGCTCTCGATCTCACGATTTGTGTCAATAATCTAAAGAGTTGGAATAGAGTTAAGAATAAAGTACTTGGAGACAATCTTAGATTGAGGGAGGGTCAAGAATACCAATTCCAATAGACTGGGCCGATTTTGATATGATTGGATATGAGATGACCAGTGACCACATTTATATACACCATAGAATCATGCATGCTGGCCACAAATATGTAAATAATGAACAGTGGAGATAACTCAAAGTACTAAGATTACGTACCAATACAGCAACATCATTTGTGGTTTTTAGAGAGATTTATCCAGAGCTAAAATTTGATTGTACGATTTTAACAAATGTGAACCTTGGTTTTTTCTTACTTTTTTCTCCTACCAAGACTTGATATGATTTTTATCATGAAGTATCAGGAACTAATTAAATCAGAAAGAGAAAGACAGCATAATAAAGTGAAGTTTATATTATTATTAGTAGTAGCCAAAAAGGACTCAATCACATACATTCGACTAATTATAACAGCTTGCAATACAAAGAAGAAGCTGTATAAAGCTAAGTACACTGCAACCAAAAAAAAAAAAAAAAACATTATTATCATCCGACCTTATTCTACTGCGCCTATATATACGTACTGTACCTTATGCTCACATACAAGCTTTAATTTAATTTGTATCTCTATCATAACTAAAAATACTAGTAGAAAAAGAAACTAGTTAAGCTCAAAGCTAGCATTCTTAGCTAGGGACACTTTAAAATGTGTCATTATTATTATTATTATTAATATTGTTACGTTGTTATATATTATATTAAAGTTTACTTAAACCCATCGAGCACCTGCCCTTTTGAGCATTGGCGTTAAAAGGCCTTGAAGATGAAGACTCATGACTTTATTTTCTCCGCCGACCAACTCGCCGCCGACAAACACCGCGGGAACGGTGGGGTTGCAGCCCATCCTCGACAGCGCTTGCTCGATCTCACGGCCTCTCGGCATCTCGTCCAGCTCGTACACCGCCGGGTAGACGTCCAGGTCGGAGAAAAGGGACTTGATACTGTAACTCATGCAGCAAGAGCTCTTGCTGAATATCACCACCGCCTTCTCTTTCGCCATTCTCAGTACACTGCTCTCCATTTTAATGTCACTACCCGAGAGTGTGTACTATATCTGAAATGAAGGCCGGGCTTTATAAATTTCTTAGTACAGTGGAGCTTTGGAGGTTTAAGCAAGGTTGCGATGGGGAAATGAGGGCAGGCAGTGGGGTGTATTTATAGTCAGTTTTGATCTGATGGTACGTAGATATTTTGTTTTGTTTTATTGTTTGAGTCAAAATTATGTGGAGAGATTAGATTAGATGATAGTGATTGATATGATATAATATATGAAGTTACGTTGTCACAAACACTACAGATATGATGGAATAGAAAATGTTAGATATGATTCTTTGCATACGGAAGTGAAGTTGGCACGTACAATATAATGGTACGGCGGCGCTTCTCATCTTTCACTATATGAACATGCAATGGGCCATCATATCATCCATGAATAGTAATACCACAAAAAATGGAGGCATATTAAATGAGAAAAAAAAAAGAAGAAGAAGATTATTGCTAATAAGAAGATGTGGTGTTTCTTTGTAGTTGAGTTATTCCCATGTAATGTAGGACAACTTTCAATTCATGGCCTCTCATACTATACACCTCAGCTCGGGGCTCACAGCCTCACACTAGCTATATTCTGCCCCAAGTCCACTAGTTTGTTGCTTGCTCCAAACCAACAAGACTCTTACAAATGTAAGAAAATCCAAACTCAGCATGCACAGATTTAGCTCAATGATTTAGTAGTTAATATTTAGGAGAAGAGACAAGATTCAAACCTCATAGTGTGAGAATTATGTCCAAAGTGCACAGATCCCTTATGCGCACCGACATTTGACCCTTTATGTTGAGCCATTATATTGAGTCATTGTGATTGTGGTTGGGGTTTCAACCTTTTGGGAGAGAAAAAAAATCCAAACTCACATCCAAGTCCGTTGGTTCCTGAGTGATAAATTATAAGTAAAGGTAAGACAATCTAAGTCTAAATCTATCCATTATCAATTTAATATGATCTTAATGTATATTACAAAAGATTCGATGTTCTATTAATTTATTATTTAACAAGACAAAAACTTATGTAAGACTGTTTCACGGATCTTTATCTACTTATCAATGATGTTAGAGTACTAGCTAGAGAATTTTTTTTAACCTTACCTTCACTTTTGTTAAACGTCTGCAAATAGGGCTGCCCATGTTCTTGCTAGGGAAGCCCTATCCAAGTCAGATTGTGTGGATTGTTTTTCGGTTTCTTTTTCTTCTATTTCTCATGTACTGAACCTTGTTCTTGCTTAATATATTTTCGTCATGTTTCTAAAAAAAAAAAGTGTTTGTTACTAATAAAAGCTAGAGGAAGTGTAATACTTTGAGAAAAAATATACTCCGTAGTAATTTTAAATGAAATGTAATAGTATTATATATTTTTCTTCAAAATATTACATATTTTCTTGTAAGTAATAAATATTTTATTTCTCATTAGTATTATATTTTTCAATATAAGTATTACATTTTCAAAGAATGACCAGGAATCGAGTCTCACCAGCGGCAGTGTGAGAGCAACCTCTCAAAGTGAGGGGGGCTCCTTGTGCGCAGTAAGCAAATGTCTAGCCTCTGTGGTTCATGTTCAGTTGAGTTACCATGATTTACATCCTCCCAGATGCTCTGTCGGGCCGGGGTGTGGGAGGCCCTTAGGGTTGGGGTTCAACCTTTTGGTAAGAAGTATTACATTTTCATCTTAACCCAACCCATCTCACGGATAAAGATTAGTGAGACAGTCTCACAGGAGAGTCACTCATATAATAACAATATAGTATGTTAAATTGTCAACTATTAAGGAAACAAATTAGAGTTAATTCCATCAGAGATCCCTTGTCTTTGGTGACAATTACAAATTTTAGTCCCAGACTATCATTTTTGCCATTTAACATCCCAAACTATTATTTCTTTGACATTTTTAGTCCTTATCATGACTTTTCCTATTTTTAGTAAGGACATTTTTGTCTCTTCATATTTTCTTTTATTATTTTTTTGAGTTAATACCTAAAATCGTCCTCGACTATAGTGGTTTTTCTCAATTTCGTCCTAAATGACTTTGATGACCTAATATCGTCCCAGACTTTTGTGTTTCGCTCAATTTAGTCCTAGACTTTTGTGTTTTTACTCAATTTAGTCCCTCATTTGTTATTCTGTCCATTTGGTGTTAAATAAATAGACAATTCAGTAATTTTAATATTGGCATCTCTTTACTCATAGACATGTGAACTGCGAAATCCCTTTTTTTTTTTACGAATTACTCCCAGAATTACTCCTAAAACTGCGAATATAAAATTTGATTTGCAGGTCTGGGTGTAATTCGTACAAGAAAGAGGAATTTCGCACTTCACAAGTTGAAAGTAAAGAGAGATCAATATTGACATTACTGAATTGTCCCTTAATTTAACACCAATTTGACGGAATAACAAATAGAGGACTAAATTGAGCGAAACACAAAAGTCTGGGACGATATTAGGTCACCAAAGTCGTTTAGGACGAAATTGAGAAAAACCACTATAGTCGAGGACGATTTTGGGTATTAACTCTTATTTTTTTGGTTTCAACCAGTTTAATTGGTTTACGACTTTATTAAAAATCGGATAAAAAATATGCTTACTAAAAATCAAAGGTAACATAAAATTCTAAACCAATTAAACTAGTTGAAACTAGAAAAATAACAAAAGAAAAATATGAAAAGACAAAAATGCACTTATTAAAAATAGAAAAAATCATGAGAAGGACTAAAAATGTCCAAAAAATAATAATCCGGGATGTTAAATGACAAAAAAGATAATCTATGACTAAATTTAGAATTAAATTACCACCAAAGACAATAGACTTTTGGTTAAATTAACTCAAACAAATTATCTATATTTGTCTCAAATTTGCGCACACTAAAGAAATCATTTATCTTTTTTATTATTGGTAGAAAACTCTCATCCACTGATCGGATAGTTGTCTTAGTAGTTATGCTATACGGTTACAGGCTCAACTTTACGTGAAAGCTGCTTATTAACCTTAGCTTTTTGATTACTTTCTTGTGATCCTTTCCCGGTTAGAGTTTGCGGACTTTTTGTAAATCAAAGTTATTTGTATACTTCTTTACTAGTTAAAATCACATTTTATGGATGACTATTTACTAAAATTTCTTTTACATTATTGGATTATTACATGACTCCTTTTACAAGTAATTGATGAAATTAAATATTTTTTTTCTCTTAAAGAATTTATAAAGATAATTTTATGTTAAGGAGTGAATAATATGGTTGACTTTTATAGAGAAAATAGCAATTTTTTATTTTTGGTTTTTGTTTTTAATAAATGGTATAGCTTTCTATATAATACGTACGTGTAATGTTGCTCTCGAGAAGGCATCTGAAATTCTGAAGTGTTGAGAAAAGGAAGTTGGATTTATCCAACTGGAAACTTTTTGTCTTCCGATAAAATCAGGAAAGGGATTCAAATCTAATTCACACCGAAAGATTTAAAACATTTATAATATTTTTTTTTGGTTCAATTATAAATTTATTAATTTGGCATCAAAATTTTAAATGTTTGTAATTGTATTATTATTATTTTTTTTAAAATTTGATCTTAAAAATATTTGGATTGATTTACAATTTTATAAAAGGATTTAATCCAACATACTTCTTAATAAAGCACACAAATTCAATAACGCATTCACTGGGACTCAATCTCATGACCTCCTATATGGAAGATGTCACTACATGGCATCTGAGCACAAGGTGCTTCGCACTTGCATCATTATATTAAGTGTAAATGGTTGCAGATTTTACTTGCATACTTGCACTTTTAACTACATATGTTACTTGCACACAAAGTTTCAATTATTTATAAATTTTTTTAAAAAATTAAATCTGATTTGTTGATTTTTTCAAATAAACGGCTCAAATTAATTTCTATTTTTCTCCTAAACGCCCGTTATTGATATGAAATTTTCACGTTTAATGTAATTTTTTTAAAACAAAAATTGTAAATTGCAGTAAACATGCATTCTGGAGAATTCTCAATAGTTCGAAAGCAGAACTTCACTTTTTGAAGGCTGTTTGCAATGCAGCTTAGTCGAGGACAACTTATGTGCTCCTTATTGGCCCTGCTGGATCCCAAGGGTCAGCCTTTTAAAGGTCGCCGTAACAAAATGCCTAACAAATTTTATTTTATTTTTTTCTCTCGAAATCTATTTTTAAGAAATTGTGCAATACATATTTACACTTACAAAATACAAATTATTCTATTTATTCAAAAACAATTTTAAGTTTCATTTTATTTCACAGGTAATTAACCTGCTTATATTAAAAAAAAAAACACACACACACACACACACAATTTTAAGTTATATAATTCATACTTTTTAAAAATATAAACAATTTAATAAAAATTTATTCAAGTTGGCCACTAAAATTAACAAAAATGTATACCCACATAACACATATATGCATCTGTAGATTCTTAAGAAATGCGGCATACGTCCACATGCATGCACAATTGATTGGCAAAAGGAATAATAAGAGAATATATAATATTTAGAAGAGAAAAGAAGAATAATATAAATTTTTCGATCACGTTAAATTTAGGATAATATTCACAAGACAAAATAATGCAAAAGTTTAATAAAAAGCAAAAAATATATACTGCAAAATTAAAGAATGTTTGCTTTTTCACACGTAGAAGATAAGAATATAGTATAGATGATGCATGAAAGGGAATAACAAAGACGGTTCTTGGCATCACACTATCAAATGTTTGGGTTGGTAACGTACAATAGGTACAACTACACTAATGTGTGGCTGTTCTTTCTCAAAAGTGCGAAAGAATATATTACAGATTCAACTAATTTTTTTTAAAAGAATATTTCTCTCTCTAGAGAGAGGTATGATCAAATGAGAACATGACACTCCTATAAAAGTAAGACCGATCCGAGTCGTCTATCAAAATTCATCAATTGTTGAGAGTTTTAGTTAAAAAAAAAAAAAAAAAAAAAGAGGCAAAAACTTGTGTGAGACATCTCACACATTCTTACTCGTGGCAAATTATATTGTGCACCGAGCTTCAAAACGACGTCGTTTTGTTTAA